CAAGAACGATATCTTCGGGTAGTGCTTGCAAGTCACCTCAGAAACGGGTGACATGGTACTCCTGATCGACAAAGCTGGTCATAATGTCAATTCAGTTCAGTTAATTCAAATTCACCTTAAAGATGATGAGTCGCACCAGTCCCGTTGGACCCTTAGATAGGGAGAGTAAGATAATTTTTGGGAAATATCTGCCACTGGTTGTTTTGTAGCATGAATGTAGCCTCTGATTCTAATAAATTGGCTTTCGAGGCTCGAACCCCACCACCAGTACTCAACTATGTTTGTAGGCAGCTTTGCTGACATCAGGCTACATACTAAGCCTACCCTATGGGGCCTCAATTGCTTCGCTACCCCAAGCTACAGAGCTTCTGGTCTCCGCGGTCGTCGTGACTATGAAGTCTATTGTTCGCCATACTTAGGTGGTAATAACAAAATAAGTTTACTAATTAGTAGGTGATACATATTCCCGTATGAGTTAAATTTTACATTTGCTAGTTCATGAGAAGTCATCATGGTTTGCTTTCCGTTTGGTCTGGTCTATGTTCCTATTCTTAGAAGTTCATATCCCACCTCATTCCCAGTGGGTTGATGTTCCCTTTTTATGAACTTTTATGTGATACCCGACAAAGAATGGGGAACAACTATTTCATCCCTGTCGGGTTACATCAGGCTGAAACTGGTGTCTGTGAATTTGGATAGGATATAAAAGAAAACGTTCAAGCTATTATTTGTACCCAGTGGTTCATGGTATCGGCTTTCGGGCATGTAGCCAAAGGATAACTGTATTGATTTCAAACTTGAAGGCTGTCAGTTAAGAGCTAGGAAGCAAGACAAAACCTGTCAACTATTGTCCAGTCCGCAGAAGGCTAATAGAGCCATTCATTTGCGTTTACTCAGAGAAACCGTTGATTTTGCTTAGAGTTGTGCAATAATCCTACCAGCAAGTATATTGTGCTTATTTATTTGGAATATGCATTTCTTCGATGCGCTCAGCTAGTTGCTTGAATTCTAGTGAGTAATTGATCTTGATGCAAATGTTGCCCGAAATCGATTCATTTCCTAAACATTTCTTCACGTGATCACTTTTGATAAATAACTCAAAAATACACTTTCACTGAAGCACTGAAGCACCGAGACGAACCAACCTCGCCCTATGCCCGTGAGCAAGCATGATCCTACGTCCTCATTTTATCTAATTTCTGTTTAGTTCATTGAACGAGTGAACAAACAAACAAGCGAATAAGCACAGTGCATGTACATGAATCTCACGGGAGATTCCGAATGGAACCAATTAGTCAACCCGGTCAATCCCATCGGAGGGTGGTAGAGCGGAGAGAGGAGGGGGTAAGTAGGATGAAAGAGGAAGATAAGCTACGAATGATACGAAAATTCAGTTCAGTTATCGTTGCTATTGGAAACCAAATTTTTTCCTCTGCCACTCGGGATTGGCGAAAATAAGTGCATTGGTAAGGAAGAGGAGAAATTCGCTCGATCTCGTCAATGTGTCATTTGGGAAAATGAAATCTATGCCGAGAGTCGAATAGGCACGGCTCATGCCATCTCGATACTCCGCGTAATTAGTCACCAAAATGTATGGCCTGTTTCTGGAAGGTTTCAAAGCTTACATTCTTAGCACATTTTCTGAGGCCGTATGGCGTCAGGTGATTGTGGAGGCTCAGTGTGAAACGTTCGATTTCGAAGTACGAAGAGACTATGATGAGGACCTCTTGGGACGACTGTTCAAAGCGACCTCGAAGGTGACAAACTTAAGTGATTACAAAATCAAATACGGGATGGGCAAATCGTTCAAGGATTTTTTCGGTTTCAAGGAGTATCAAGCGGTCCTAAGGGTGCTCGGTCGCGAGTTGAGAGATTTCCTCAACGGACTGGACAATCTGCACGAATTCATTCGTGCAACGTATCCTCAAATCCGACCACCATCATTCTTCTGTGTGAATGAGAGTCGATCGGGAATAACCCTGAAATATCAATCGAAACGTGATGGAATGGTTCCATTCTTTGTGGGCTGGATGGAAAATGTTTCCCAGATGTACTTCAATATTCAGATGAAGATTACCGTAAGTTGGGAGTGTCTTTCAGAGACAACTTTAGAAAAAGCTTTATCAGATTGATTGGTATATTTTAGTTTCAGAAAAATATCTGTAAGCTGTATGATATACAGAAGCTGTTCTGGATATATTTTACACGCTCGGTTTGTGTCGTACATCCGTAGGAATTTCGGTATATTTTGATATTTAGCAATTCCAATATTTGTGTATTGTCAACAAACTTAGGTGAAATATCTAATCCCCATGAATGTAATGTGGTCGCTCAATTTCCAGATGCTTTCATGATGGAGGACAATATTTACAAATTGGGAGCATGTATCATGAAATTCGAATGGTTGAATTTATAGAATATCTGTGAGTTGGGTAATGTCTCCCGAACAGTTATTCACTTTACAAATTTCCTCTTAATATACCGATGGTCAGTAAAACTGCAAGTTCATTTCGCAGTTCTAGTAAGAGATCTTACCCGGTTAGCATGTAATTGAATCGATAAAACGCTCACGTGCGAAGATCATTAGCCTGATCATACTAGATTTACTGTTGCATTCACCCCTACCCAATTAGTTCAAACATTGTCGGAACGGATAGAAATTTTCACACCCCTCAGTGATATTCATTCTTAAGAGGAACTAGTGGAAAATAGCGCAGACCAAGATTTCAACACGAGAGCAAGCTCTCAGTATCTATTCTTCTCCCATCTAGTTTCTCCAATACTATTCGTGTTAATATGAGACAAACGAAACAGAGCTACCAGATGGCAGGTAAGCTGGCTGCCGTGAAAGTTTGTTTCTCAGAATTCGCCGGGATGCACCGAACGAACTTCTAAGGTGGGGTTATTCGTTCAAATTATGTTGTTTAGTAGATTACGGAAGACAAATATGAAAAGATCGGTGCTATCTGTGTAACCTCATAGCTTACTTTGGAGAGCGTTCACTGTGTAACAGCATCATGGGCGTCCGTGAGTGAATACGAATCCCATCAAGGCTACTGAACTGTTCAAGATGAAAACAAGGTAATTATCTTCTGTTATCTTCTAAAAGATGTAATTCTAACGAAGTAGATATTTAAAAATAATTAATTTTACCAGAAAGAAATCCAATGACAATTGGTTTCCTCGCTTTTGTTTCCGATAAGTTAATAATTTCGGTTCAGTGTTTTCTATTTAGGGTAAAACATTTCTACGCCCTATTTCACAGTAAATCTCTTTAGTATTTTAGTACTGTGATCAAACGTTTCATCAGAATCTGAGCGTACTCGGCCAATACACTGGTACTTTCCGAGATTATTTTATCCGCGTTTACCAAATAGTAGGTTTTGAAGATTACCTCTTCTCGTGGAACCTCGACTCCTGTCCAAATTGACAGCAATCTATCACATTGCCAAGGTTCAGGAATGTATTTCTCACTGACCGACCTAATACGATTCGAACTTCTTTTGGATTTCAGCCTTGGTGGTTTTATCCAGTATAGTGGCAATTATCTCCGCCGATCGTTTGGAAGGTCCGGGTTCGATTCCCGGCCGGATCGCAGTTTTCTCAGTTCCGGTAGAACTGGGCTCCGATTTGCATCCGTGGACTAGTTCAAGATCTCAAGGATCCAAAATGCTTGAAATGCATTGGATAAGAGGCTTAAAATGCATTTGTAGCAGCTACAACCCCGACATCAATGACTGTAGAAAACAAGTATTCGCATATCTAGCATTCGTAAGATACCTAACTATCCACTCTCCCTGATTGTCAATTCATTCCATTGGTCTTCCGTGAAACATCTAAATGGCCTTCTTTTTCCCGTGTGCTGTTTCATGTGCTTTATTTACCACTGATTACAACAGGAGGAGGAATATATTTGGCCCAAGATCGAGTGGTTTATTCTATCTAGTTTTGGGCATACGGCCGTGTTAGGCGTGATCACTTGAGATCGATGTTCATTCTTGGTAGGGTGAGTTATATAATTATTCGTGGCTGGGATAATGTGTTCGCATGAATGAACACCATTGGGGATGAGCAGTGTTCTATTTAACCTGTTCGTCGAGCTCGGTAATTTGTTTGCAAACAAATTATCAGGCTCAGCGAACAGGTGAAATGGAATTCAGTTCACCCCAGTTACGCGAACCGATTTTCAATACGTTGTCGATGGGCAATGTACTGTTGTCAGTCAGAGGGAAGTGTGTATGTGGAACCTCGTGATTTTATTGTCTAGGCGTCCACTAAAAGTCATTTGTTTGAGAGGTCGTGTACTAATTTCTAATATCACCAAGAAGGTAGCGTTCAATTTCCAAGGAAGGTCTGCATCGTTTGGGAAAATCACTCGAGCCATTTACCCGTTAACAAAGAAATAGGTAAAAATTAGTGAATAAGAACAAGCTTAACTTTTCGTTCCCCTACCGCTATTTCAGGTAAAACGAAATTGGATCTGTCAGTTTCAATACCCAATATCAGAAAAAATAGGTGGTTAACTAGCCAGTATTAAATAATGCTCTCATGGAATTCGTGCATGTTTATGTGAATATGCACATTTCAAAGCGAATGAAAAAATATCATATAAAGACCAGGTAACACTCTTCAGATTTACGATAAGTTCACTTGACAGAAATGGTTACTTACCAAAAGCACTAGCACCAGCACCAGCACTACCACCCCACCATCAAGAACAACAACGGCAACAACAACACCACCATCATCACCAGGTAAGTGCAAATGAACCACTGCTGAATTTTCCACTCTTCAGTGTGTTTCGGATTTAGTGAATCACCCGATATACGGAATCAAGAACACTCCCTAATTACTCCTGAATGTGTGCAGTACAGCGTCGGTCATTGTCTGAATAAGGATATTGCTTCAAAACTCAACCTAATCACCGTATGCCTACACACATACGTAAGAAAAAATCGCTCCTCCTAGATAATAGATAAAAACCACATTCAGTCAGAATTATGGATTTGTACAACGTATCCATGGTCATTTCGCTGCATCTGTACACGTGCATACTGCAGTCTTCGTGGTTTTTATAGTCGGTGAGATGATAACTGTGAGACTAAGACAAGATCCCTAATCACAACGGACGACACGACACACCACCACAATTTGTAACTTATGTGGTTACCAACCACACTATATTTTAGAGTGACCTTGGTGATGACTTTCTGGATTTGGCCTTCAAAGCCACTTGCGAATTCGAGCTGGTCGTGATGTCCTTCTTCTTCATTCTTCATTATTCTTTCTCCTGTTGTTCATTCTTTTGTCCATGAAGTCCGGAAAATGGTTGACTTACCAGGGAGGGGGGAGAGATGATTCGTATGTGCAATTTCTCTTTGTTCAATCTGAAAGTGTCGTAACTCGATGTTTTTATCTTACATGATTTGCCATCTGATATTGGCAATCTCAGGGTGCTACCCCAGTGGGTTTACCACCAAAATCGTTTGGGATAGAGTGAGCACTGCTGACCACGTTTTACATAAAGTTCATTTAGTAAAGTCTCTTAAACCCAAGGTTGATGGACGCAAATAAGGCGTATCAGATCTTGATATAATCAGTTGTATAAAACCCTTCGGTTCTGTCCTGATCCATTTCGTGCGGAAAACATTCTGTGTCGCTGTGTCACAGATGTAAGACGGAAGCTAAATAAGGAAATTTCTGATCTTGATCTCCAGATTTTACGATCTGTTAAGTCCAAATCGGGTTTTCAAAATGGATAGTGCATTTATTCTGAACCAATTTAATTTTTCATTTCAGTGCTGAGCATACTAGCATAAAGAGAACCAATACTTCAGCTTTCTAGCTGAAGTGTATTCCACTACTCAGAATTTCACGAGCACAACTTGTCACAGAGGCAGTTGTGAAACCAGCATGTTTCAGGCACCCTACTTTGCGTATGAGGTAGAAATGTGTGTCATCTCACCACTATTCAAACCCGTACGTGCCGAACCTCACTTTGGTCTGAACGCTATTCGTATTTATTTATTCTGAATCGTATTCAAGGGATAGGGTGATATGTCTGAAGGAAGGTGTGACAAGGCCGCAAGACGTTTGGAAAAGACTGAAGGTTATTCGGAAATTCAGTCAAGCAAAATATCATACATTGCGTCATTTGTCGTTTCATTTGAGACAGACGCATACATATATGCCTCGAATAAGTGTAACCAATGCAAGAATAAAGTGAGCTTAATCGCTGTCATCATCATCTTCAAAAAAGCACGTTCGAATCTTGTTACACTTTAATCTTTATCCAACGTGGGTTCTCTAAAATTTAGTTTATCCAAGGGTGTTTTAAGTAGGAAACGGTTAGAAACCTTAAAGGATCAACTTGAATGCTATACAGGGAGATAAGAACGAAAATCACAAAATGCATTTGTTAATTAAATAGCTAGACATCATTCAATCCTTAAATTCTGCTTCATTTGAAATTTTATCAACAAAGTTGATGAGAACGACAACGAAAACAGGCCAATGATTAGTGCAATTAGATGCTGAAACAAAACTCCAATAGTTATACCGGCTGATCTGGAATAGGCTCATTTCTGAATTGGATACGAAGCAACACACTAGATGTGTGAACATATATACAATCAGGCTTGTTTGTTTCACCCCAAACTGTTTCTCTTTGATATAAAAGGAATTCATATTGAAACTTATCTATCTTATCAAGTAATCATTGTTTCCCAGACCATCGATTTGGTTGTCTTTTTGACCAAGGAATATCTATCTATCAGATGTTTTCACAAGGGTTGTTGGTGCCTATGATATGCATTCACTTGTTCTTCATCGGTCAGGATCAACTGAATTTGATCTAAGTCATAATGATGTTATTCTTAAACGTTTAAATGACCCAGTCTGGTAATCCATGTCAAACTGTATACAACTTCTTGTTTTTACTGTTCCAATGGGACACGCTGCTCGGGTTGGAATTTCAAACCTCATACGTTGTCGGAGGAGGCCATCCACATAGAACTAAAAAAGCATTTCGTTCGTACCACATGTGTGTAGGTAGGACTATTTTGTCCGTGTCCGGATTTGGCTTAAGAACCTGAGGTTAGGGGTGTTTTTGGGTTCAATTTTGAGGGACCTCATTAAAATTACCCGAGATAAATCTCGTTGGTTTGAATAGATAGATAGATACGATACGATACGATACGATACGATACGATACGATACCGATAGTCACACCTTGTATTCGTTAGCATTTCCTAGTGCTTGTAATTAACATCTAGCATGGTGAGATTGAAACATCCAGCTTAAGCAGAGATTCGAAATGCAAACAATTGAAACCTCTGAACCGGCTTGCATGGGTGATATCATGTCCGATATTGTAAGAGAATACTACCATTTAAGAAGTTTACACTCATTGTTTATATGATCTGTATGCTCTGCCCAGAGTCAAATTGTTTATGAAAATTCGGCTCTCAGTCGTGATAGAGATAACCAAATCAAGACTCATGATTTCGCATAACTGAGTTCAACAAATGGTTTGGAACCAAGTTCAAAAATGCAGAGACTAAATGCTGCATACATGTGAGAGAAGCATCTCTGTGAAGTATATGAAGAACGCTCAGTATTCAGATTATCCTCCAGGATAGTGAGATATAAGGCTAGCCAATACACTATGGCGCCACACATCTAAAACCTTCACGGTTGCAGTGCCATCGAAGTGCCATCGAAGGAGAGAGCGCGTGCGCACACACACTGACTCTACAGGAGTGGCGTATACATTCTATTCTTCACAATTAATGTTATCTAAGATAGACACTCGGGTAGGAAGACAGATCAACATGCAGGATTGAACCGCTATAAACGTTTATATATTTTAATTAGATTTGCTTGGCTTTGTTAGAAGAAGAGCGAGAAATCGTTGGCCTCTAACACTGGGATGCTTCAGGAAGCAGACGCTGAGAAACTTTTTGACAAATTCCATTCATCAACACAGAGCATTTACAATCGTTCAAGGCCATTCCAATCCAGTTATTGAACATAGCGAATGATACTATGAATATGGCGTTACAAGTCTTTGTGTTCACGGCGTTCAGTTCCTCTCCCTAGCGCAGTGAGCGAAAGATACAACATGGTTTGTCGGTAAAATACATTACACAATGAACCAATCTCCTGTTCATGACAAAAGTCCTCGTTTAATCAAATAAGACTCGCCACTAATCCTGAAATCATTTTCCCATTTCGAATAACGTTGATCCCAACAGATTAAGTCTACTCACACTTCCTTTTGGATAACAACTACCTGGTTTCTGATCACTTTGCTGCTCATTCAACTGGAAACGAAACTCGCGGAGGCTATTTATCTTTGCGGGTGGCGTATATATCAAATAATCATCCAATGAAGTTCATTTTTTGCCACTCTGTGCATGCCACTTGTTTTCTTATACATACATATTTATGCGAACAACATTTAATATGTTTGGGATCAAACCTTTGCCACAGCACATTTAAAGTAGTCCTCATCTACAGAAAACCATTCCAGTAGTAGGTTACATCTGAAACACTGATTCAGATATGGCTCACATAATTGCACAAGTATGTGATTGTTGTTCACCAAACGAGGCAATCACCATACCACTTATGTTTGTTCAAGGAAAAAACCTTACAGAAGCGGGCAGGAGATCGTTTAAGGTTGCGAACTGCCTTGTTACCCCTAAAGGATTACAATCACGCTTGTGCTTATCTGTTCGTTTTCATTACAACTTACAATTCTCTCGGTAACTTGATTCTATTTCACAATACCCCTGTGCCCCTGTCTAGATCATTCACAGCGAAAAGAAAGAAACATCAAACATCACAATTCTCCGTCTTCACTTTGTTAATGAAGCCTTCCCTGAGGTCATCGAGGAACTATCGGTTCCGGCTCATTTATTTTTTGAAGCCTTCCCGTTCAACTTTGTATTCAATCGAGGCATGATTCTCATTAATGTCGGTTCCAGTATGATCCATGCGTTGCCAGACATTGTTCGAAGAAATCTCAACGAGGTGTTTGTATTGGAAAGACCGCATATCGAACTGAAATGGGACGATGTGAGTGAGAAATATTGATAACAAAGTTGGAATAAACTTTAAATGTGACTTCATGGGTTGCTTCTAAATAAATGTTGGGAAGATCTGCATTTGATATCGTAGTTTAGATGTATTCCTAACTGTTCATTGGATCGATTTTTTTTCATCGTGTGGAATACCCTTGAGCATCCCGGTTTTAGACGGTTGCCGTTTATGATAGTTCTGCTTCCGATGAATGAATCACACTCAGCTCAGAATAAATCGCAAGCAAACTAAACGGATCTGTAATGAGCATCAAACATAGGAATTATATCCTACGAACGTTCACAGCGTATTGAAAAACCTGTTTTACAAAGAAGCTCGGCAGCTAAATAGGCAAGGTTGCTCATCATTTAGTTTTCAAAAGCCCTGAACGGAGCGTTAAAAATAGTGCGCGTAACCTTCCTGGTTTTAATTTATCTTGTCTTTCATCCCTACATTCCGGTACGATACCGTTGATTAGACTGTTTCTGAGATGATGTGACAAAACACACCACCATGTTTCCGCGGCTCCATGGAAAAGAAAGTATCGTAACCAAATAAGCACTATCAACCGACTTGATCATTTTTCACCTCTTCTGTCAGCACTCCCTTCATTGCTGCTCCGTCCCTCAAATATGAGTGAACAATTGATGATCTAATGAAATGAAATAAAAGCTTTTAAAATATTTTATTTCGAATTCATTCGAAATTTGTTTTTATTTGGATAACAGTAAATAACATGCCCTATTGTCTTATTTTTTTGCTCCCGTCTCTGACACAGATCATGCTTCATACGAACAACATATTCCAAATGGTTAGCAATAGAGCTAAACCGTTAGATGGTAAGATGAAACGATAAATGGTTTTGAATATTGCTTTTCCAATAAAACTAAACTGCGAAAGGTTTTAATAGTAATTATGATACTATTATTATTGTTATTGCTATTCTTAATCTTATAATCATAAATAGTATAATTATTAGTGATAGGGAGATTAGTCCAGGAAACCAGGTTGATAGTTAACAAACTTCATTAGGAAGCATTTCATTTTTGAGCTGTATAAATTCCAATGGTCCTTATTAACAAGTTCGAATTAACTGGTTGAAAAACGTGAACATATTTGCGATTTGCTCTGCCCAATTCAGTCCCTGTTAAGAATCATCCAGGAAACTCAAATGAGTTTTAATCAGTCTCGATTTTTGCATATAGTTCGTCTAAAGTTCGAGTGCCACACCTTGCTCGTCTATCCAGCTTCGTTCAGTTATTTACATAAAGGCAGTCATGTCATGTGACTGAAAATGCAGTTATACTTGAGCATGGATTTGTTAGCCTGTCGAACACAATTTGTTTCAATGATGTGTTTATTCGACGATTGATGATCAACTATCGATCGTTCATGTGTACTGATGACGTTGACATTTGCACGAATAAGTACGTGTTTTGAGTAGATGACGATAGTTACTTGATGTGAATGATAATTTGAAGTTCACCAAATTGGTGAGAAGAATGAGATAACATAATAATTTTGAATGTTGAACTGGTAAACAAGAAAATCCATCATATGATGAATTGAGCTTACATTGCATTCACGATTCTTCCATTTTTCGTTCCAAAGACGACGAAGAAAATCCTACAAATGATTCCAATAATCCTCGAAAGGGATGCCTTCGTATGCGGGGTCAGATGAAATACATGGTCGAATGGGATGCAATAGTATTTTTGGGCACACCTATGTAAGTGATTCCTTGCCGGTTCTATGTCGCATTGAGGAATGCTTCACCATGCATATCATGCTACTGTTATTTCAATTACGTCGATGCTAACGAAATAATCAATGGTTGGTAATGCTTGGTACTATTGTTATATCATGAGTGAAACCGACCACAGCAGAATTACTCTGAAGGGACTAGAGATGCAAATACAAACTTGCTCTTTATTAAAACATTGGTCACGATGACTTGCAGCAAATTCTTCGTCCTAATGTAACGAGAAGGCGACTTGGCTGGCAAAACGTTTATTGATTCAATTCAAAAACAACCGGTGTATGCGTTCAATTACATACAATCAATTCTCAACTGCGCAGCAGGATGATTCATGCCTTATCCTGTTGGTCAATCCCCCTTCGTTTTGGTCAGCACTTGGCACGTACGTTTCCTCTTCTTCCGCATGCCGTTCCGACAGGTTTAACCTAAACGTA